AAAAAAAAAAAAAAAGAAGAAGAAGAAGATTTTGCTGGGAGCTCACACCTGTAATCCTAGATGGAGGCTGAGGTCTGAGGATTACAAGTTGAAGCCAGCTCAGGCAGGCAATTTTGTGAGACTCATATTTCCATTTAACCACGGGGGGGGGGGTAGAGCGGGGAGTGGGGGAAAACACTGGAAATGTAGCTGTGACTGAGTGGCAGAGCTCTAATCTTGAGCACAAAAGCTTAAGGACAACATCCAGGCCCTGAGTTCAAGCCCAGGACCAACACCAAAAACAAAAGAATTACAGACTACATTAATTGGCTGCCCATTGCAGTGGGAGTAACTTACCATAATTCCCTCATTAACAACTTAGGACATTTGATCAAATATGATAATAGAAAATGACCAATGGGTTTTATAAAGCATATGTATAGTGTACATAATGCTTAGTAAATCTTAGTGTTTCCTGTTATTCTAACTTAACTGTTGATGACTCTAGACTTTATTTATTTATTTATTTTTGTTGGTCGTGGGTCTTGAACTCTGGGCCTGGGCACTGTCTTTGAGCTCTTCAGCCCAAGGCAAGCACTCTACCACTTGAGCCACAGCACCACTTCCTGTTTTCTGGAGGTTAATTGGCTTTGAACCTCGATCCTCAGATCTCAGCCTCCTGTAGCTAGGATTACAGGTATGAGCCATCAGTTCCCTGGCATTCTAGACTTTAGTGTTCAGTACACTATTTCCTGTACTCCAACAGGAGATCGAAAGAGAAAGTCTTGCTTACTTTCTCATATTCTTTTCACTAGGTTGATAGGAAATAATTTAAAACAGCAATGTATCTTATCACTGCCTCTGTTTCCCCAATAAGTAATGCTGTGAGTGGTGAACTGATAGAAAATAGAATCCAAGAGCAAGCCAAAAGAGTTAGAACTACATTAGTCTCAACAGTTTTAGGGTATTGTGATATGACTTTAATAATGCAACTGGCATTGAATTTTAAAATATGACCTTCTTATGCATAACACATCTAAGACCAAAACAGCTTTTATCCTGCCTCTGATATACTCCCATTACCATATGTAATAAAAATTAATAGTGCATGCTAATGCTTTTGCCTACTGAGTATTGGGAGAAGGGGAAAGCTCTGTACATGTAGTTGTTAGTTTTGAAATACAAGTGACTTATATCAAGAAGCTATTATAAATGTAAACTTTCATTCTTTTTGTAGGTAAAATCATCTCTATTGACACTAGTTCCCTAAGAGCTGCTGGCAGAACTGGCTGGGAAGATTTAGTGAGGAAATGCATTTATGCTTTTTTCCAACCTCAGGGCAGAGAGCCATCTTATGCCAGACAACTGTTTCAAGAAGGTAAAGTTTTCTCTCAATTATTTTCATTACATTGTTCTTGATTAATATTGGATAGTTTCTGTAGAACTTATAGCTTGATAAGTATTTTCTCCAAATTATGGTTTTTCTAATAATCAGATAGGAAAGGAAGAAATGGGTAAGCAAAGTAACTCATGAGTGGATCCTGAAATCCAGGATGCACATTCTCAAAAACAGGATGTCCTGTGACAGTCACTCACTCATCCATTAATTCATTCATTCAGCAGACATGTGTCAAAGTTCCTAGCATGCATAGAATACTATGCATATGACAGGAGTACAGCAGTGCTCTGAGTATACTAGAATATATAAAAGCTCTGTAAATCATTGTGATCCGGGCTATAATAGATGTGTAACTAAAGAAGGAAAATAGAAATTCTGACTTGGAGAATCTGATGTCTTCAGATAAGAAGTGATATTTCTGTCTGGCTCTTGAAGGTCTTTCCCAGCAGAAGCAGCATGTAAGGCTGTTTTTGGATAATGCAAAGATTAGTATCATGCACATTAACTGTGTGGTTGTTGAAGTATGTATCTCCTGATTCAGGGCGAAATTCCAAGTTATAACCAATGCCCTGTGAAATTATTAGCTATTGAATGCTACTATGTCTTAATAAGTTCCACAGACATACAAGTACATCCCTGTCATTAAAGAATTAAATAATAAATAGAAAAGGTAAGGAAAGTTATCTGTGAATAAAGGCCAGAACGCTCACAGAGATTCAAGATTAAGGGATTTCAGTGTACTTTTTAAAAATGTAATTTTGTAATTGTGGTAGTCTAATAGTCCTTTTTCAAAGCAATTTGTCCTCTAGCCTTTGTATAACCTCTTTCTAAAGTCATTTCTAAAAAACATTTTTTCATTATTCTGTCATCCATTTTGGCCTTAACATTTTTCCTATAACATTAAATTTTCTCAATTTATAGATGATTTGTCATTCATTACATTTTAGGTCAGCTGATTAGAATTGGAGGAAAAAGCTTTTTTTCAGGGTGCCATCTATATAAATCTACAGTCCTTGTTACTCAAGGACAGCTTCCTATAGACTAGTAGTTGTCCAGCGGAGCCTTACATACCACCTCTTTAGATTGTATTTTATTGTAAAGAGCCAAGATTTTAACTTTGTCCAGGTACTTACAAATTAGAGCCAATATGCCAACCATTGGATGGCTGGATGGGAGTGTTTGTTTGTTTGTTTGTTTTTTGCCAGTCCTGGGGATTGAACTCAGGGCCTGGGTACTGTCCCTGAGCTTCTCTTGCTCAAGGCTAGCACTCTACCACTTGAGCCACAGCACCACTTCTGGCCTTTTCTGTTCATGTGGTACTGAGGAATCGAACCCAGGTCTTCATGCATGCTAGGCAAGCACACTACCACTAAGCCATATTCCCAGCCCTGTGAGAACTTTTTTTTTACACTATACTCAAAGTGACACTTGATTATTGCATAGGTTGGTACTAAGAGCATTGTCTCCAATCACTGCCTAAAGTGTTACTTAGTATGGTGTCTCTGTGCTTTTTTCCTTAATTTTTAAGGTAAACCTGCCAATGCTTTGCTTAAAAGACAACTTTATTTGCCTATTATTTATACACACTTCAACCAAGGCAAAGCAGGTCCTCATTATTCCTTTATTGTCTGACAGATATGATTAAAACATATTTTAATAATGTGTTTCTAAGCCCTTAGTATTCTCTATAAATAGGCTGATTAAAGTATAACAAATAACAAACCCTACATTAACATAAAACAATTTAGAGGAAAATGTACAGAAATACAAATATAATCCAACACCTTTTATTTGTCATTTCTTAGTTTCTTCTCCTACAGTTCTTTAAAAAATAATTCCCTAAAAAATAAAAAAAAAGAATTCCCTGATAGAAATAACTTGTATTTTTCTCAGAACTCAGATGGCCAGAGTTCATTTGACTCTGTTTTTAATGTTTTAGAGATTCAAGACAGCTGTCAAACAGCCTTCAAGATGGAGCACATGTTTTTCTGGTATTTTACATTCAGTTGTATCTAGCCTGATCACACTAATGTGCAGATTACCTGTTTAGAAAAAAAAATACCCTACCTGTTTTTTTTTAAAAAAATTGACCTTCAAGCAAGTATGGTGGTTCATGTCTGTAATCCTCGTTACTCAGGACAGAGACAGGAGAATCTAACATCTACAAATCCCTGACTTCCATCTCTAGTTTTTCATATTTATGCACTCACAAATTCATACACATTCTGACCTGCTGAGTTAAAGTCTGAGATAAAGATATCTTAAGTCTTTAAACTAATGCTTAAATTTAATAAACATGAGTTAGTCTATCAAGAGTGAAAAGGGGTATAATTTACATGGGTAGTTTTCTTATTGTGTCTTCTACTTAAAGACAGGGTGAACAGAGTGAGACACTCCTGTTAGAATGATTGTTACCAAGAAGACAAAAGATAACAAATACTGGCAAGGATATGGAGAAAAGACAGCCCTTAGCATGCTGTTGTTGAGAATGTAAATTAGTACAGCCATTATGCAAGAATGATATAGTGTTTCCTCAAAAAAATTAAAATAGAACTGCCATATGATCCAGCAATCTCACTTATGGGCATATAACCTATGGAACTGAAATCAGTATGTTGAAGAACTACTAGCTCTATTCCTGTGCTTATTGCAACACTATTTACAGTAGCCAAGGTACAAAATCAATCTAAGTCCTCATCAACAGGTGTGTGGAAAATGAAAATGAAAATATATATATTCACTCAATGGACTACTACTATTCAATCATAAAATAAGGAAATCCTGTATTTTTTTACAACATGGATATCTTAGAAGATATTAGGTTAAGTGGAATAACCCAGGCACAGAACACATGATCTCACTGATATGTAGAATCTAAAATAATTTTCTCAAGAATTAGAGTAGAAAGATGGCTGCTAGAATATGAGTGGTTGGCAGGGACAGGAAGAGGGCTTTCAGGGATGAGGTTGGTCAAAGGATTACAGTTAAGTCTGAGAAATAAGTTTAAGAAATTTGGGGGCTGAGAATGTGGCTTAATGGTAGAGTGCTTGCTTAGCATGCATGAAGCCCTAGGTTCGATTCCTTAGTGCCACATAAACAGAAAAAGCCATAAGTGGGGCTGTGGTTCAGATGATAGAGTACTAGCATTGGCCTGAGTTTGAGCCCCAGGACAAGGAAGGAAGGAAGGAAGG